TTTGGTAAGACATTGGCTTCGTGTCTGTGGTTGTGTGGGTAGATGAATGAATGCGTGGGTGGGTTTCGTTCCCAGGCTGTTTGGTCGAGTGAGGCAGGAGGGGAGGGGTATAACTGTTTAGGGTGGAGGGTGGGTGGCCCGTGAAGAAGTCTCGGCAGACTGAGTGGTCTAGCGATAGAGCCTGCGCTGACTAACACGAAAATTCACAAGTTCGGAGCCCGTACTTTGGGACCGTAGGTCGTCTTTCTGACTGAACAAACTGACCCTAACGTCCAAAGTTGTGCGATGCACTGGGTGGGGCAAGAAAAAGCCTGGCCATTGGTCTAGTGTTTGGTAACATGGGTGAGAGAAATACTCGACTCTCAACCTTGTGATGGTCTGCCCTGGCTAGTAATGACCGTATACCAGAGATTACACACATTTCGTTCAGTTTCACAATGTAAAAACCACTCCCCCCACCCACTCCCTATACCATTCCCTACCACTCCCTATCCCATTCCCTACCACTCCCTATCCCATTCCCTACCATTCCCCCATCCACCCCCTATCCCATTCCCCACCACTCCCCCCATCCACGCCCTATGCCATTCCCTACCACCCCCCACACTCCCTATCCCATTCCCTACCACTCTCCCATCCACTCCCTATCCCATTCCCTACCACTCCCCTATCGACTCTCTATCCCATTCCCTGCCACTCCCCCATCCACTCCCTATCCCATTCCCTACCACTCCCCTATCGACTCTATCCCATTCCCTACCACTTCCCTATCGACTGTCTATCCCATTCACTACCACTCCCCCATACACTCCCTATCCCACTCCCACTCCCTACCACTCCTCCCATCCACTCCCTATCCCATTCCCTACCACTTTCTCATTTACTTGATCCACCCTCGGGACACCACACCAATTTCCTACCATTCCCCTCCCCACTCCATCCCCACTCCCCACCAATTTCCCATTCCCTTCACACCACTTCACCCAACCATTTCCCCAGCACTCCACCACCACCCCCCTCCAAATGCCCCCAATTAGAAAAAATAAACAAATAATTGTTTAAAAAATATTTTTTAAAATTATTCTCAGATATGCGGAAGATCCATCATATTGCAAAGGACCATCAGAAGCATTAAAAAAATGTGCAGAGAGACATAAGGGTATGTTTTTTTTTCAAATCCTAATTAAAATAAGTAGGTATACAATAACTATTTAACCTTACCTCTATCTCTATTTATATATTGTAATAGATGGTTTATAAAAATTAGCTTTTTTTTGATGGGGGGGGGGGGGTAGCCTTACAACACCAAGTCACGGGTCTGACAGGTTAGATAACTCCTAAATATTATTTTATTTTAAAAAAAAATGAAATAAATAAATAAAATAAATATTGCAATATAAAAAAAGCCGAAATGATTTCTCCGCAGATTACTTCAACACCCCGTAAGACTGCCTCCTACTTTCTGCTGAAGGCTGTTGGAAATAAACATACCTGAACAGAGTTACACGAGTTATCTGCCATTTATTTCTTTACATTGTTGCGTCCCTTACGTACAAGTTATTTTATTTTGTTGTTGTTGTGTTTTCACACACACGCGCGTGCACACACACACACACACACATATCGAATCAATGCATGTATTATCCAGAAGGTATTTTAAGTTGAAGAAAGAGAGTCAATGGCTCGACTATATAATATTATCTTTAAAAATTAGCTATTGGCTATTGTTTTTAATGAATCCTTCGGATTAACACACATTTGTTGACTATGAGGTTTGTTGTCATGCTTTTACGTGTGTTCCTTTTTTATGTCCTTACATACCTTTTTTATCTATGAGTTTTTTGTTTTAACAAGTTTTTTAGGCTACTATCGATTTAACAAAAAATATTATTTATTATTTTTAAAAAGTGTCTTAAAGGTACTGGTTTAGAAGTTGCAAAATTGTGGCTTGAATAATTTGGCAGAACTGCGGGCATTTTTTTTTCCAGACTTTTTTTTCTCCTGGCGGGGGGGGGGGGGGGGGGCGGACTAAATTTTCCGTGTGAGGGGGAGGTAAATATATTCTATAATATACATTTTGTTCGGAGGGGGGGGGGGGCTGTAGACGTTCCTCGGGGGTTTCTGCCCCCCACCTCCGAACAGATGCCTGAAAGCATCTGACTGAAGAATGGAGGTATGGAACAATAAATAAAGGTGCATCCCCTTTTGTGACTGTGTTTAAGGGGCATGTAAGGTACGAACTAGTATCGCGTTGAAAGAGTTCTCTACACCGACTTGCCGATTCCCATATAGGTTTGTGGAGAGGGGGGGGGGTGGAGGTTCTTATTGCAGGTCACTGACCCTTCACGGTATTTTGCAAGTCCGTCGGAAACCGATCTAGAAAACAGCTAACTATAAAGCCTGTGTAGAGTCCATTAAGGCATCTAAAATCGTGGTTTTTTTTTTAATTAACAAAAATTTTTTGGAGGATAATCGTATTTAATAGATGGAGGATGGTAACACTGTGGGTCTTTATTTTTGGTGGTTGGGGAGGGGGGAGGGGTCTATACTTTAGTGACGATGTGGGGGGGGGGGGTAAAACATAAGCTAAGTACAGCGTGACGTCACTTATGATTGACCAGTAATTATTTAAGTATTAAAACAACAATTCTCTTTAATGACCTGATGAAGATTGTAATCACTTTTTTTTTGCTTTTTAAAGACCGATTAGCTATCGCCTTGTCAGGTAGATAATCAACAGTCCAACAACACACCTGTATTATCTACCTGTCGGTGGGTGGGTGATAACGTTGCTGTCGCCGTAGTCTTGAGTTTGGTACGCTGATACCTTAGACATTGCATGAACAGTTCGTGAACTGAACCGTAAAAAGTACCCCATTTCAACAAGTTCGTTAAGTGAAGTTTTGGTTTTTGAATAATTTTGGCTCGAATTTTTAACAAGGATTTATACTTTCAATGTTTGGTACAGTGCTCTGTGATCAGGACTAGAGCCCTTGGATTATAATTTTATCGCGTTCGGGTCAAAGTGATTAATTAATTTAAAGATGGAGATAATGAACGTGTATGTGTTGTTGTGTGTTTTCTGTACCGCGCTTGTGAGAAGTGAGGGGATAAATTCGACCTTTCTAGAAGATATTGGTAATATAACCACAAATGCTGAAAATAATCAGTTCAATCGATTATTTGACGGGTAAGAGGAGCAGTACCTTGTATCGTATACCATCATGATATATATATATATATATATATATATATTATATATATATATATATATATATATATATATATATATATATATATATATATATATATATATATATATATATATATATATAACACATGAATTATGTAAAGCCTATACATATATTTATGCATACATATAGAGGAATGTCTCTACATATATATGGCTCTATATTTATAACAATATAACTTTATGTATAGAAATAGGCATACATGTATAGACATATATATATATAAATATATATACATATATATATATATATATATATATATATATATATATATATATATATATATATATATATATATATATATATATATATATATATATATATATATATATATATATATATATATATTATATGTGTTATAAACAGTTTGAAATCGAAAATTTGCCCTGAGGGGGCGCCAAATTGAAAGTTTGTCCCCGGGCGCCGGGAATGGTCGCTACGCCTCTGGGCATCGCGCTGACCATACTTTATCTTCATATACTTTGGTAAAATATACATACATATATATATATATATATATATATATATATATATATATATATATATATATATATATATATACACATATATATATATATGTATATATATATATATATATATATATATATATATATATATATATATATATATATATATATATATATATGTATACATATATATGTATGGCGATATATAAAATTTGTCTCAATAGCCAATTGCCAGAATTGAGAGATGAGTAGTCATACTTTGACTCACTCTTGGCTGCCTTCAACAACATGGAGTTTTATTATCATACACTAAGAATCTGCCACCTCACTATTTAAACTTTAAATCTAACCACCGATACTTGTCGTATCTACTTTAATTCAGGCATTTGTCACGGTTATTATTTTATCATGGTATCAGTTGCGGAACAATATCGATACGTATTAATAACTGACGATATCACCAAAACGTATCGATACCGTCTTATGGCTGCAGATCAAAAATACTTCGGTGTTAAAATATAGGTCTTGGCCTATGTATGAGTCAGAAGAGAATATTCAAAAATTAAAAATGTTAGAATTGCACAATGACATGAAACGAAAGTAGGATTGCACAACGACATGAAACGAAAGAAGTCTGACTTTCTGATAGGCAAAGACCTGAGTTTAATCGACGAGTTCATTCAGGGTTTGGTTTATACGGTCCTACGCTGTTTTAGAAAAGGGCCTTTTATCAGTCTAGGTATCGGCCTATGTGTCCTTATCAAACAATGTTTCGGAGACTGGGCGAGTTCAGCTGAAATAAGATTAGCATAGGTAGTAATTAATAATTCATTAACTTAAAGTCAATTTTGATAACTTTAAATTGCAAACTTCAGTTGAAGAAAATGTTCTTTTAAAAGGCGTATTAAACATTTGTGGACAAATTTTACCACAAGATTCAATCACTGCAAGAGCCCTCCCCGCCCCCCCCCCCCCCCGACCCTACCTCAAAAAAAATTGGCCTCAGAATACAAAGATATGGCCTGTGATTATTACAGATATTTTTCTCATGTAGGAGGGGGGGGGGGGGGGGCACTAGAAACTTTCGGGGGACGGACTTAATTTTTCATAGAGGGACGGGATCGACCACTGATTATAGTATTTGGTATATACACTTTATTTCGTTCAGGAGGGGGGTTTAACGTTTTTCGGAAGGGGGGGGGGGCGTCTCCCCAGCGTCCGCCCCCCCCCCTCCGCATCTTAGACAATGTGGGAAACAGCAGGATATGTAAAGTATAGGACAGGGGTCCTTAATCTTTGTTCCATCGACCCCCAGGGGTTGGGCGATTCAGTCTCAGGGGTTCGGCGGAGGTCAAGACACACACCCGACTCAAAAGATTCACGATCGGATTTTGTCAGTTCCGATGATACAATTTATTAATAAGAAAGTTTCAGTGAACGCGCATACAGCGGCGTAGCCAGGATTGTCTCAAGGGGGGGGGGGGGGTCCAATTTTTTACCCGGGGACAAACTTTCGATTTGCACCCCACCCCTCAGACTTTCGATTTGCACCCCCACCCCTCATACTTTATATATATATATATATATATATATATATATATATATATATATATATATATATATACCGAGGGGTCTATGAGGGGGGGTTATGACCCCCCTCCTACCCCCCTGCCTACGCCACTGCGCGCATAATGAAACTGTTGAGGCTCGGTACCTCCAAAATTGTTAAGAACCACTATTGTAAGGTTATACTAAACCATGGTGTCCAATCAGAATTCCTTAATGTAAAATCAATTTTGAGATTGTTTCTTAATTTGATGTTTCCAAGTTGATCTGGAGAAAGTTCTTTAGCTCAGCTGAAAAGGATAAAAATATATGATTTTAGAACAACAATAACTCAAGATAAATTTCGATCTTTTAGTCTCATGTGCACAGAAAGTTACAAATAACACAGTTTGTCATTGGATAATGTAATCAGTGACATAATTTAGCAAAACCCTGGGACGACAATTGTTTTAGTTTGATTTAATCCTTTAATCCGTATGACATTTTAAAGAGATTAGATAATAAGCCTTTGTAGATTTAGCTTTAAATTTCTTTTCACTAAAGTTCGCAAGTTGAAAGTTATTATCTTAATTGTATTTCAGTTTAACCCGACCCTCTAGGTATCAGAAAATCATATTTGCAACTGATATATAGGCCTAATGTTTTAATATCTGGGCTTATAAGGGGCCGTAAATCTCACTTAGATTAGAAACGTTTCAGGCTTAAAAGTCAATCCTAACCAATCTTTGTATGTTTTAATCCTGCCTAATAAACAAGTCAAGAATCCTTAGATTCTGGGATTTACTAAAGTATTAAGCAAATGAATCGCATTTCTTTTAAACATATGCTTAATCTTTGTATTTAAGTTTTTTTTTTAGTGATTTGAATTATTTGAAGGCAATTCTGCCCCAGTCATCGTGTTCTTAAGGGCAAAAAAAAAAAAGAAAAGAAAAAACGGCATGGTCGAATGGTAGAGAGATCGACCACTAAACTGAAAGTCTCGAGTTTGTATCCATGGCTAGAGTCTTAGCATATCCCAGAGTCAACCCAGCTTTAATGGGTACCTGACTTACGTTAGGATACATAAAAATGCCTGAGCACACTATCCTCTCATATGCCAAGGTCACAGAAACAGGTGAACTCTACTTCATCTGCCCGTGTGGACCGCCAGGTTCGAAAAGTAGATTTAGTTTTCAAGCGTGTTGTTTGTATCAATGTATTCAATATCCCTACCAGTTTTTCGCAGGAAACTTCACCTGCCCAGTGGGCAGTGAGCTTCCATAAGTAGCTTTACGTCACTTTACTTTTTAAAGGACATTGTTTGCATCAATGTATAAAATGTATTCCACTTTCCAGACAGCTTTTCTCTAGGAATTTCACCTGCTTCTATCGGTAACTTTACTTTTTAAGGGCAGTGTTGGCATCATGTATAAAATGTATTCCACTTTCGTACCAGTATTTTCCCTGGAGACTTTGGTTCCGAGACTGCTGGGGGCTGTAACACAGGTCTACACTGTCCCATCGTCTCCACGCTGCACACTACAGAGACTCTCCGTGTTAAAAGGGCTAGCACAGCGTCAGCTATGGGCCATTACGTGTAAGTTGTTGTGGTTACGTCACAAGGTGGGGTCGTGGGGGGGGGGGGGGGGTTCTGCACCACGTAACACCATTTAGGGGTTGACACCAACTAAAAAAAACGTAAAATGTACGGTCAGAACAATTTTTTAAAGTTAAAATAATACGACAATACAGAGAGTGGTGACACCAAATCGGAAATAGGAAATTATTTGATGGAGGGAGGGGTTGGCACCTTAGTTAACGCACAAGATGGCGTCCCCCCCATTGTGGCGCCACAGAGTTTTTGTACTACATATTTCACTCATAGTCTGTCACAAGATTTAATAGGACTCGAATAAATTCTCCTAAAGATAAGTAGAGTCAATATGGCTTCGGAAAATAGGGCACCCGTTGATACTGTTCCATTTATTATGACCTGCTACAAAATACCTCTTTTTTTAAAAATAGTCTTTTTTATCTCAGATCATGATAAAAGGAACAGTATTCACGAGTGCCTTATTGTCAGAAGCCATACTGACGGAGGCATTTTATCGCAGGACATTTTTTACAGGACTGTTTAGATGGGAGTCATTTTGTCACTGTTAGTTGTTTTGTGTCACGCTCCATAAATTTCAACATTCAAACCTTAGTTCCATAGTTGTGATTATTCTACTCAAAGAGCGGGCGATTTTAACAGTGTTAACGGAGGTCGGCCAGAGTTTCTTCCATGCATCTCTTGGGGGGGGGGGGGGGCGGAAACGAGATGGAATTTATATACTAAACATATACTTTTACTAGTGTCCCCTCCCCCTCTCCCCCCCCCCCCCCCCGGAAAATGTTGACCGCCCCCCGAAAATATTAAGTGCCACCCCCCCCGGAGAAAAAGGCGGCGTGACCGGATCGGTTAAGCTCATGATTGCTGAACCGAGAAGTCCCGAGTTCGAACCCCCAGGCCGATGAGAGAAAACAAAAATGTCCGGTATTATTAAAATGTAATTTAAAAAACTTCTTTGTTTTGCGTTCTTAATTAACTGTAATATTTCGTGTATTTCCCCGAACACAATTAAATATTAAGTATCAACTTAGGACTCTGATTACAGCCAGTTTTTTACAAGCTTTTATTTAACTCACTTCCTCTGTCGTCAGTCTGTCGACAGTCTGTCTAGACGGAAACGCAGGAGTGAAAATTCGGACAGTTCTACTTGACCGACACGATTCACAGTTGGCACGTGGGTCAAGACATGAAGACAATGCAATCTGAAACTAAATTTGACTTAATTGGATGCCTAATTGATTTTTTATGAATTAATTAAAATTTGGACCGAATTAGTAGGCATGTCTAGCCAACCACACCACACGCGTCATCAATAGCTGCGCCATCACGACCACGTAATGGCTGCGTTCAAAAACCATTGCGCGCCTACTGAACGTGATGTTCAGTAGGCGCGCAATGGTTTTTAGTCATGTAACTCTAATTATGTAGATAAAACATGTAAAGTACTGAAAAAAAATTCTTAAAAAAACGTTTTAAAAACAAGCTTTATGTAATGATGCACTAAAAAAGTAGAAAATAAATTATAGACTACTATTAAAATAACTATAAAGAAAAGCGTGGGTGTCTTCCTTAACATTTGTAAAGGTATCCAATAGATACTAAAGTGACCCACGCTTTTCTTTATAGTTATTTTAATAGTAGTCTATAATTTATTTTCTACTTTTTAGTGCATCATTACATAAAAGCTTGTTTTTTAAAACGTTTTTTTATGAATTTTTTTTACAAGCTTTTATTTAACTCACTTCCTCTGTCTGTCGTCAGTCTAGACGGAAACGCAGGAGTGAAAATTCGGACAGTTTCTACTTGACCGACACGATTCACAGTTGGCACGTGGGTCAAGACATGAAGACAATGCAATCTGAAACTAAATTTGACTTAATTGGATGCCTAATTGATTTTTTATTAATTAATTAAAATTTGGACCGAATTAGTAGGCATGTCTAGCCAACCACACCACACGCGTCATCAATAGCTGCGCCATCACGACCACGTAATGGCTGCGTTCAAAAACCATTGCGCGCCTACTGAAAGTGATATTCAGTAGGCGCGCAATGGTTTTTAGTCATGTAACTCTATTGTAGATAAAACATGTAAAGTACTGAAAAAAATTTCATAAAAAACGTTTTAATAACAAGCTTTTATGTAATTATGCACTAAAAAGTAGAAAATAAATTATAGACTACTATTTAAATAACTATAAAGAAAAGCGTGGGTGTCTTCCTTAACATTAGTAAAGGTATCCAATAGATACTAAAGTGACCCACGCTTTTCTTTATAGTTATTTAAATAGTAGTCTATAATTTATTTTCTACTTTTTAGTGCATAATTACATAAAAGCTTGTTATTATAACGTTTTTTATGAATTTTTTTACAAGCTTTTATTTAACTCACTTCCTCTGTCGTCAGTCGTCAGTCTAGACGGAAACGCAGGAGTGAAAATTCGGAAACTTCTACTTGACCGATACGATTCACACTTGGCACGTGGGTCAAGACATGAAGACAATGCAATCTGAAACTAAATTTGACTTAATTGGATGCCTAATTGATTTTTTATGAATTAATTACAATTTGGACCGAATTAGTAGGCATGTCTAGCCAACCACACCACACGCGTCATCACCTTCAATAGCTGCGCCATCACGTAATGGCTGCGTTCAAAAACCATTGCGCGCCTACTGAACCGTTCAGTACGTGAACCGTGAACGTGATGTTCAGTAGGCGCGCAATGGTTTTTAGTCATGTAACTCTATTGTAAATAAAACATGTAAAGTACTGAAAAAAAATTCATAAAAAACGTTTTAATAACAAGCTTTTATGTAATGATGCACTAAAAAGTAGAAAATAAATTATAGACTACTATTTAAATAACTATAAAGAAAAGCGTGGGTCACTTTAGTATCTATTGGATACCTTTACTAATGTTAAGGAAGACACCCACGCTTTTCTTTATAGTTATTTAAATAGTAGTCTATAATTTATTTTCTACTTTTTAGTGCATCATTACATAAAAGCTTGTTATTAAAACGTTTTTTATGAATTTTTTTTTGTTAGATTTGCTACCCAAGAACAAACTAAAAGGTCCCCAGCTAACGAGCCCCATCTGCCCGGGAATTTTTTCCATTTAGTTCGCGAAAATACAACAGAAATGCGCCCAATGTGTTAAAAATTTATTTAAAACAAAAAAGCAACGCTTTTTATAGAGGTCGGCCTGGTTGTGTCGACGAGGCTCATGGTTGATAAGCAGGAGAACCAATGGAAAGCCAGATAGAAGTCCTAATTTTATGGAGAAGTCAACAATAATGACCTGGCCACTCACTAGCCAACCGCGCTGACGCCGTTGTCATAGAAAAAAAAGAGTGCCATTGTTTCAAACAGGGTTTCATTCAATTTTCTTCGGGGGGGGGCCTTGAATTTTCAGTGTGGAGTACTTGAAACTTACTGAGGGGAGGTGTTAAGACATTGTTATAATTATATACTTTTATATATATTTTAAAAATTTCGGCCTGATGGTGTTGAGTGTGGATCTAGAGAGGGAAGTGCCCCCCCCCCTTTAAGACTCTGGTTTTGAACCATCCACCCACCAAAATCTTTAACTAGACTGGCTTACGAAATAGCTACACAAAAAACTTTTCTGTATCTAGATATCAGGTATTTCAACACTTTCACATGGTATCAGCTGACATTGTAAGATAGGTGTATTGTGAAATTTGAGTGCAGATGACTGGCGAGTCGTGTTATCAAACTTGTTTTAATGTTAAGTGTTTAAGCTATCAATAGAGCTCTCATTAAGGACCTTAGCTGGTCAAAAAGGCATGTCATAATACCAGAGGCGTAGTTATGTGAGGGCGGGTGGGGGTGGCCGTCCCGGGGTGCCAACCGGGATAAAAAAATTAAAAAAAAAACGCAACTAGAGTTGTAGGACTAAATGATACACAGTCGAAGTTTTAAAACATAGACTTCGGCTCGGCTTCGCTGACTAACTTAGCTATTTTAAATTTTGTGACATAACAACAATAGTGTCTAGTAAAATATGATCGTGGGGGGGGGGGGGGGGGGGGGGGGGAGGGCGCTTTTCGCATATGTGTTGTAAATTTGATAGTTCACCCCGGGCGCCGAAATGAGTCGCTAGGCCTCTGCATAATAAATGGAACAGTATTGAAAGGCGCCTTATTGTCCGAAGCCATATTGCCTTTTGTTATCTTTGTGAAAATGCATGCGAGGTCTTATTCGTGCGTGTGACAGAATCTGAGTGAAATATGTAGTACAAAAACTCAGTGGCCTAGTTATATTTTCTATAGCAATCTAAAAATGTACAATTTTAGTTTTATGACATTAAAATTTTGAAACTTATAGCGATACGATCAAGCCATTTATTTAAAGTACTTCTTGCTCGGTCTTTGATTTATTAAAATGCCTTTTTATAATGACTCCTTACAAGCAGGGGCGGAACTACAGTGCCGCCAGACCCCGCAATGCGGGGGGCCCACGCCGTTTAGGGGGCCCACAGCCGCCCATAATCATTTTCTTTATAGTTAAAACAAATTAATTTTCTTGCATTTTTGACCTGATGGTTGTTTTGAAAAAAGAATACTAAAGCTGCGGTTGGAGTATCTTTATTCTATTGACACCATCCACGCTCTTGTATATTCTTTTTCCTACAATCAAACACATGCTGTTGTCGGCTGAATTCTTTTGAAAAAAAACGTCCATTCCCCGAGAGGCCGCTAGATATTAAGACGGCTTTTTGAGACCATCCCACATTCGGTATTGATGGATAAAAGTACATCGGCACTTTGTTGTCCCTTTTAAGTTCCTTTCTCAAACCGCCCCTCCCGCTCTTAGCCTTACAAGAAGCGAATAGATAGCGCCCCAACAACTAAGCTGGCTCGTGTCGGTGATGGTGTGGACTAACTAGCGCCCCAACAACTAAGATCCAAGAAATAAAGTGCCGACATTGTTTACGTTTAAAAACCATTGTTGCTAGAAAACAAGGCAAACGTCTAAAATAAATACATGACTAATAACGTGAGATATATATATATATATATATATATATATATAATATATATATATAATATATATATATATATATATAATATATATATATATATATATATATATATATATATATATATATATATATATATATATATATAATATATATATATATATATATATGGGGGCCCAAAAAATTTTTTGCGGGGTGGCCCATTTTATCTAGTTCCGCCACTGCTTACAAGTACTCTTTACAATGACTCCTCACAACGACGCTCATCGTGATTCCTTACAATGACTCATAGCAATGACTCCTCCCAATGGCTCTCATAATTACCCCTTAAAAAGACACATCGAAATGACTCTCATGATGACTCATCAGTCACTGACGCCTCATAATGGCTCATCACAATGACTTTCATAAGACTCCCATAATGACTCCTAAAATGACTCCGCACAACAACCCCTCAGAATCGCTAGCTCACTATGACTCTCGCGATAACTTCTCTGCCTTTGACGCCTCATACTGACTCATAAAATGACTCCGCACAGCAACCCCTCAGAATCGATACCTCACAAATTACTCTCAAAGTCCCCTGTATTTAACGCCTCCTAAAATAACCCTCTAATACGACTACTCACACCGACTCCTCACAATGACTCACTGTGACTCCCCTAGTCTTTGACGCAATGGGTAAGCCTGGTAACGGCATCCTGCAAGGCAACACGCGACTCATGGGCAACTACGACCAGTGCCGGTCCATCTCTGGGGTCACTGACCTCAACCAGGACATCCAAGGTGTCTTCGTGGAGTTCACATTCAGGCTTCAACTTCCGGCAGGTGTTCCCAGTGCCTCGGGGATATTCGTAAGTCATCCCTAATTAATATTAATTAGCTATTTAACTAGAAGTTAAGTCCAACATATATGATATATATATATATATATATATATATATATATATATATATATATATATATATATATATATATATATATATATATATATATATATATATATATATATATATGATGAATGACTAAAGTTTACCAAATGCCTCAGGGATATTCGTAAGTCACTTCTAATTAACTAATTTGATTAATTAGCTATTTAATTAGTTAGTTGCTTACTTCAAGCAAGAAGACATCTTGATTTCGTTAAGACGGAGAATCCTATGACCAATGATTAAAAATTGCCCAGTACCTCCATTTTTGTCGGTTACCGGCAATTTTCCCGGCAGTCCCCCATGGCAGTCCTGCCTCTGTCAGCTGCTTCCCCGTCCTGCGCCTCCACGTCTCCCTTGGTGTTCCCTGATTTCTTTTTCCTTGAGGCATTCAGTTTAGCGCCATTCCTGAGATATCATCTGGATTCATTCTTAGGTTGTGCCCCATCTATTACCTACTTCTTTTTTCGATTTACTGGATTGCCCGCTTAAGTAACACAAAGAGTTTAGTTCAAATATAGAGACATATTCTATATGTATTCTGGTGGTTTGTTATATAATCCTTGCTTATATTTACACTGACCGAGGAAGGCCGTTGGGTTCATGTAGGTAGATTGAGATAGTTGGGGAGGGGTTGGGGAGAAATGTAGAACAGGCAATAGCTCAAGCACATTGCTTTCACATACAGAAAAGGAAAACACTAAATACGTCAAAATAAAGTTAAGCAAACAGAAAATTACGCTACCAAAAAAAAAAAAATGCGCATCCGGTAATTACGCAATTATTGAAATTTGGCTAATTAATTTTAAAATGTAAAATTTAAATTAAAAATAGGCTTCGTCATAATTAGTTTTTAATTCATTATCATCTTCTCCCGTTTGCTACCAAGGCATATAAGGCAGATAAAGTAGAGTTTATTTTTTTAAATAACCTAGGCATACAGGTGGATAGTTTAAAAAAAAATAGCTTTTACATAAAGTGAGTCAGGAACCTATTAGAGCTGGGTAGACTCAGAGAGTTCTACAGATTCGAACCCTGATGCAAACTCGAGACTTTCATTCTATCTCGCTTTTGTTTTACTACCTGGTATAATTTTCAAAATAAAAACATTTGTGTTGTTTTTCTGTGTCTTGTCAGCCCAACCAAGACACGGGACTTCCGGTTCTTCTATGGGGCGTCTGCTTGCCGGCTGGGTGTGATTTACAAGACGCCACTGTTATTGGGAAACAAATAGCAGGCATGTTATTTTTAAAATTATATTTTTTCCCCAAGTTTTCTCTTTTCGTTTTTAAAATAGATCTTTTATAAAGCTTTTCCACTCCATAATTTTTATATTTGTAAAGTGCTTTTTTAAACGAATACATTATTTTAATTCAAATTTATTTTTAAATATCCATTCTATGAATTAGTATTTAAAATTATTTTCACGTGCGTCGTTAAAAACATAAAGCTGATTTCAGAGTAAATAAAAACTTCTTAAAATAGTACATGTATTTTAAAATTTATTTTTAAAAAAAATTAGATACAATGTCTAATTACCAAAATATGCAATAATTTGATTTAAGTGTAAAGTGCTTTTTAAAAACGCTTTCATTATTTTAATTTAAATTTATTTTTAAATATACATTCTATGAGTCAATATTTAAAATTATTTTCACGTGCGCCGTTAATTAAAAACACAAAGCGGATTTCATGATAAATACTTTTTAAAATAGTACATATATTTTAAAATTTATAAAAAAAAAAAGAGATACAATATCTAATTACCTAAATATGCAATAAGTTGAGTAAAGTGGTTTGATTCAAAATACTGTGTTATTAATCCTAAAATTGCATATGTTCCGTGACTTTATTATATCAGTTTCTTTCATTTCTTTCTTTGACTAGAATCGCTTAACATGACCCACAGCGGTTCTTTTTTGTTTGAAGACAAGGACCCACTGAAAGACACTTGTTTCATTATTGCCATGTAAGTCTATTAATAGCTGACGGGATTTGCCATGTAAGTCTATAAATAGCAGGCAGGATTTCCCACTAGGCGACATCAAACTGAAGAAAAACAAATTCTATAACCATTTTTAAATACGGAAAGTAATGCTGAGGTTTTCAAAATATAATTAAAAAATTGAAACAAAAGTAATGTTTAAGATTTAAAATGTACAACGTTAGATTTTATAATTAAAACAAAAACAATTCAACTTACTTGTTTTTTGTTAATGGAAGTTAAGACTAATTATAATTAAAGAAAAGCTTCTCATTCATTTTCTTTTATGTAAAAAGTATTTTATGTAATAAGCCGGTGTATTTTTTGAACGAGTTTAATCTACATTAAAGCGTCGTCTTTGGCGTGCTTGGCTGTTTCTGTTTCATCGGCACCATCATCGACGTCTATGTGGTCAACAAGCGCTGTAAGAAAGATAAGAAGAAAGGCCGAACCCAAAAGACGGACGCAGGTAGCGATGCCCAGGAAACACAGGGGCAGGGAGACAACTCTATGGGGACTGAAGACTCGCGCGTGAGCTCGGCGCCCAAACTTGAGCCTCATTATACGAGTATACGTGAGGGGAGTGAAGCTGAGGGGGTCGGGAGTAAAGACGGTGAGTGAGGGGGGGGGGGGGTCGGGAATAAACCTGTAAGTTGGGAAGGTGAGGGAATAAAGACGGTGAGTGGGGGAGTGGGAGGGAGTAAAGACGGTGAGTGGGGGAGAGGGAGGGAGTAAAGACGGTGAGTGGGGGAGGGGGAGGGAGTAAAGACGGTGAGTGGGGGAGGGGGAGGGAATAAAGACGGTGAGTGGGGGAGGGGGAGGGAATAAAGACGGTGAGTGGGGGAGGGGGAGGGGGAGGGAGTAAAGACGGTGAGTGGGGGAGGGGGAGGGAATAAAGACGGTGAGTGGGGGAGGGGGAGGGAGTAAAGACGGTGAGTGGGAGAGAGAGGGGGGGTCGGGAGTTAAGACGGTGATTGCGATAGCAGGTGTGTGGGTCATAATTTAAGTAGATAACGTTCGAACCTAGCAATCCATTGCTGTAGATAAAGTAGAGTTCACTTCTTTCTGTGACATCGGCACATATTCTTTCTTATATTCACTCGCTTCTACTTCGTTTACATCATTATTTTTATATCTAAAACATTGCATGTTTAGATGAATGTGAAACGAAGTTAATATAATGTTATTTTGTTTTTGTTTAATGCCGTTAGTTCCTGATGGTGTACCAAACGAAGAAGCAAGTGCCACTAAAAAAATCGGTAAGTTAGTCCAAACAAAGTTGCCGTAACATCTAGTACTAAACCTAATTTTATCTAAGGGAGCTTACTCATTGTCTATCTACCAACACTAACAGCACCAAATTTTGTCATGCTTGTTACAAAAACGCAATGTAAACCAATATGTAGGATCACGGGACCCTGGGTTCGAAACCACACTAGGAGTTCTTTTGATGGATGGAAGTCCAGAAACGATCCCTCTTGGAAGTTGTCCATAACTGACGTAATGCTAATTAGCCTATCCCCCCCCCTCCTTTTCCCCCCATTACACTTTCTACAAAAGAATCATTAGTTCGATTTCCTAAAGCGAATTAACTTCTGAGTCTTCTAAGTACTGAAGGATTACTGAAACAGCTCGGGGGAAAGTGTAACCGCATGGGCATAGGTGCTGACCACATTATCATTTCATACACCGATCTCAGAGAAACTGCTTAGCTCTACTTCATCTACCTTATGGACCTTCACAGTCACCCACATAGCCACCCACACAGCCAGCCCCCCACCCCCACACCCACCCCAACCCCCATACATCCAAGCATACACTAAAACACCCACACCCGTATACACTCACATCAAATGTCGAGCGGACCGGGCACCTGTGAATAAAATTATTAATATAAGCTCTATATGACCCATCATCTCAGGCATCGCTGGAAGATTTTTCCTAGCGTTCTCCATCTCGACCAATCTCCAAGAGATCCTGGCCGCCAAACACTCGCCCTCAGACATCCACTGTCTGCACGGCATCAAGGTCATGAGCATCAGCTGGGTCATTCTGGGTCACGTCTTCTTCCTGACTCCACATTTTGGTGAGTAGACCTACTTCATGACTCCACATTTTGGTGAGTAGACCTACTTCCTGACTCCACATTTTGGTGAGTACTTTTGGATACCACATTTTGGTGAGTAGACCTACTTCATGGCTCCACATTTTGGTGAGTACTTCATGGCTCCACATTTTGGTGAGTACTTCATGGCTCCACATTTTGGTGAGTACTTCATGGCTCCACATTTTGGTGAGTACTTCATGGCTCCACATTTTGGTGAGTAGACCTACTTCATGGCTCCACATTTTGGTGAGTACTTCATGGCTCCACATTTTGGTGAGTACTTCATGGCTCCACATTTTGGTGAGTACTTCATGGCTCCACATTTTGGTGAGTACTTCATGGCTCCACATTTTGGTGAGTACTTCATGGCTCCACATTTTGGTGAGTACTTCATGGCTCCACATTTTGGTGAGTACTTCATGGCTCCACATTTTGGTGAGTACTTCATGGCTCCACATTTTGGTGAGTACTTTTAGATACCACATTTTGGTGAGTACTTTTTGGTACGACATTTTGGTGAGTACTTCATGGCTCCACATTTTGGTGAGTACTTCATGACTTCACATTTTGGTGAGTACTTCATGGCTCCATATTTTGGTGAGTATTTTTGGATAATACATTTTGGTGAGTACTTTTTGGTACGACATTTTGGTGAGTACTTTTTGGTACGACATTTTGGTGAGTACTTTTTGGTACGACATTTTGGTGAGTACTTCATGGCTTCACATTTTGGTGAGTACTTTTTGATTCCACATTTTGGTGAGTGCTTCATGGGTACACATTTTGGTGAGTACTTCATGACTCCACATTTTGGTGAGTACTTCATGGCTCCACATTTTGGTGAGTACTTCATGGCTCCACATTTTGGTGAGTACTTTTTGATTCCACATTTTGGTGAGTACTTTTTGGTACGACATTTTGGTGAGTACTTCATGGCTCCACATTTTGGTGAGTACTTTTTGATTCCACATTTTGGTGAGTACTTTTTGATTCCACATTTTGGTGAGTACTTTTTGATTCCACATTTTGGTGAGTTCTTCATGGTTCCACATTTAGGTAAGTACTTCTTTCAATAAACAGACTTTTTTCAGAGGCAAGAAAATACAGACCAACAAAAGGCAATGTTAATGTTTTAAACAAGGACTTATAATCTAGTTAACATTTTTTTATTGTGATGTAAATAAACATGTAAATATCACAGAACTATAGAGCCTTCACCTTGATAATGTTTATAAAAAAACTCCACTAATTTGTGTTTACTTTTCTAAAGATTTTACCACAGTGTGATTGCTTATTTCTTACCTTAACTCTCCCCCTTCCCTCCAGCTAATCTGCTGACCGTGAACGACATGTCCAAGTGGTGGTCATTCCAAGGAATCACCAATGGTGTTTTCGCTGTCGACACCTTCTTCTTGATCAGGTGGGTGGTATCTGTAGCTCAAAATGACATCTATCACCGCATGCTTTTCAAAAACGTATTTAACCCAGCTTTAGAAAAACGATTAAAAGAAAGAGTCGTTTTCCTCCTATATGATTTCACGTGCGAGTTTATAATAAGACATATTGAAATTTGGCGTCATTAGGTGGGGTGATACCTGGTGTTGTTCACCCCCCCCCCATCCCCCCACGTATATTAAAGCTAGTGATGTGGCTACAGAGACGTAAATTAACAGGTTATGTTCCTGTGTACAAATAATCCAATCATCGTTTGTTAACTTTTAAATAAAAAATCAACACTTCGGGCACACGATTATTGTTTCATCATTGTTTTCATCCATCAGAGCTAACTTCAAAACCAAACTGTACTGAGATTGTGCGCCGTAACATGGCATTCCTAAGTCTTCACTTCCCTCCCTGAAATACATACATTATCAGAGGCATCACGATGATGTGTGGGGGAGGGGGTGTGACAGCATGACATAAACCTACTCACTAAAGAGAAAATAGTGCTACATCCAGCTGTATTAATTAGCGACTATAGATAAACATGGTTACCATTAACTATGAACCCTTTAAAGCAATCATATATATATATATATATATATATATATATATATATATATATATATATATGATGCCGACCTAGCGACGCCACTGTACATTAGCACGGATGATACAATGATATATATATATATATATATATATATATATATATATATATATATATATATATATATATATATATATATATATATATGTGTGTGTGTGTGTGTGTGTGTGTGTGGTGTAAGTGTGTGTGTATGGCGTAAGTGTGTGTGTGTGTGTGGTGTAAGTGTGTGTGTAAGTAACAGATATAGTGTATTAGCTAACTTATGAGATAACTTGCTGTCCCCAGTGGCTGCCTAGTGGCGTACCTGTTCTTAAAGACTGCCAGGAGAGCAGGAGGCTTAAAGTGGAAGCACATGGTACTGTACTACGTCCATCGTTACCTCAGGTATTCTAACCAATCAACCAGTCATTCCATCAGCTGTCGATAAATTAACTAAGATATTTTAACATTACTTTAGATATACTAACACCAATCAACCAGTGAAGCCATCAGCTGTCGTTAATTAAGTTATTTTAACACGTGATAACCTTCAAATATATCGTTAGTTAAGGTATTTCAACACAAACTAACAAATTGCTTACCGGTAAAAAGACAATGGCTTAGTAGACTAAGTCACTCGATAGATACATTTTCTCCCATCACAATATCGCCCCCGTATGTCTTGTTTAAAACTTATATCCTAACACAACGACTCTCTCTGATTTGTTTAATTTATCTCCCCTAGGATAATACCTCTGTATGACTTTTTAAAAAACTCCCCTCTATATCTTATTGAAAATTTGCCTCTCCTAGCTTACCACCCTTGTATGACTTATTCCATCCCCCCCCTCCATGGATAACACCCTCCAGTATGTCTCCTGTAAATTCCCCTAATGTAATACCCCTGCATGTCTTGTTTAAATCTACCCCCAGTTAATGCCCCTGATAATTTTGTTTAAATCATACCTCGGATAACAACTGCTCTAGGTTTTATTTAAATACCCCCCCCCCTGGATACCGCCCCAATTTATTTTGTTTACCCCCCCCCCCAGGATAACACCCTAATTTTTTTTTAAATCCCCCCCCCCCCCGAATAACACCCATTTTTTTTTGTTTACCCCCCCCCCCCCCAGGATAACACCTTAAAGTTTTGTTAACCCCCCTCCTCCCCAGTATAACACCCTAATTTATTTTGTTTAAATCCCTCCAAGTATAACGCCCTAACTTATTTTCTTAAAATCCCCACCCCCCAGGATAACGCCCCTGTTTGCACTAGCCATGCTCTTCTACACCGGCATCACCCCTTACCTTGAGAGCGGACCTTTTGCTCGAGAAGCGCATGACCGTGACGTCGTCTGCAGAGACACCTGGTGGGCGAACATTCTGTACATAACTAATCTCCTAGACGACCCTAACGCAGTGAGTACAGGTTCAAACATTCTGTACATAACTAATCTCCTAGACGACCCTAACGCGGTGAGTACAGGTTCAAACATTCTGTACATAACCAACCTCCTAGACCCTAACGCAGTGAGTACAGGTTCAAACATTCTGTACATAACATTCTCCTAGACGACCCTAACGCGGTGAGTACAGGTTCAAACATTCTGTATATAACCAACCTCCTAGACGACCCTAACGCGGTGAGTACAGGTTCAAACATCCTGTACATAACATTCTCCTAGACGACCCTAACGCGGTGAGTACAGGTTCAAACATTCTGTACATAACTAATCTCCTAGACGACGCTAACGCGGTGAGTACAGGTTCAAACATTCTGTACATAACCAACCTCCTAGACGACCCTAACGCGGTGAGTACAGGTTCAAACATTCTGTACATAACCAACCTCCTAGACGACCCTAACGCGGTGAGTACAGGTTCAAACATTCTGTACATAACCAACCTCCTAGACGATCTAACGCGGTGAGTACAGGTTCAAACATTCTGTACATAACCAACCTCCTAGACGACCCTAACGCGGTGAGTACAGGTTCAAACATTCTGTACATAACCAACCTCCTAGACGACCCTAACGCGGTGAGTACAGGTTCAAACATTCTGTACATAACCAACCTCCTAGACGACCCTAACGCGGTGAGTACAGGTTCAAACATTCTGTACATAACCAACCTCCTAGACGACCCTAACGCGGTGAGTACAGGTTCAAACATTCTGTACATAACCAACCTCCTAGACGACCCTAACGCGGTGAGTACAGGTTCAAACATTCTGTACATAACCAACCTCCTAGACGACCCTAACGCGGTGAGTACAGGTTCAAACATCCTGTACATAACCAACCTCCTAGACCCTAACGCGGTGAGTACAGGTTCAAGCATTCTGTACATAACCAACCTGCTAGACGACGCTAACGCGGTGAGTACAGGTTCAAACATTCTGTACATAACCAACCTTCAAGACGACCCTAACGCGGTGAGTACAGGTTCAAACATTCTGTACATAACCAACCTCCTAGACGACCCTAACGCGGTGAGTACAGGTTCAAACATTTTGTACATAACTAACCTCCTAGACGATCCTAACGCGGTGAGTACAGGTTCAAACATTCTGTACATAACCAACCTCCTAGACGACCCTAACGCGGTGAGTACAGGTTTAAACATTCTGTACATAACCAACCTCCTAAATGACCCTAACGCGGTGAGTACAGGTTCAAACATTCTGTACATAACTAATCTCCTAGACGACCCTAACGCGGTGAGTACAGGTTCAAACATTCTGTACATAACCAACCTCCTAGACGACCCTAACGCGGTGAGTACAGGTTCAAACATTCTGTACATAACTAATCTCCTAGACCCTAACGCGGTGAGTACAGGTTTAAACATTCTGTACATAACCAACCTCCTAAATGACCCTAACGCGGTGAGTACAGGTTCAAACATTCTGTACATAACCAACCTCCTAGACGACCCTAACGCGGTGAGTACAGGTTCAAACATTCTGTACATAACCAACCTCCTAGACGACCCTAACGCGGTGAATACAGGTTCAAACATTCTGTACATAACCAACCTCCTAGACGACCCTAACGCGGTGAGTAGGGGTTCAAAGTCTAGAGCCATATATGTCTGTTTCTTACATGGATGATTTCTGTGATGATCAGGGTCAGAGGTTAGAAGGGGTCGAAGTGGTCGGCGGTAAAGCTCATGGTTGCTAAACTGAATAGTCTCGAGTTCGAAAACCCGGGCAGATGAGGCTGAGGGAAGCCACTCTTCTAGGAGAGACAACTCCAAAATCAAACAACTGCGGCCTTGAAGTTTGTTCTTGGTTGGACAAAGTCTTTGGAAGCAAATGCAAAAAGAAAAGCAAGCTGAAATCGGAATCAATGGCCTCAATAACGCATAACCATGACCCGAACCATTAGAGCCACAGTGCTAGAGAGAGTACACTAGCTAGATGTGTCATACCTACTCACTTCATGAAAAAAGGCTTTTCAGAACAATATTGTTTTATAATGTATCTTAGTTGAAAATGTATTGATATTCGGGCTAATTGTCATTATCAGAACTACGACATAATTGACTTATCTGTTCTAATAGAATGAAGCATTACTGTTTAGACAAGTTGCCAATCGAAATCACTGTATACTTCTTTAGCTTAAATGTATCCTAGGAGAATAGGCTTTGTTATACAGACACATTTTTGGTGTAAAGTTATATCATTCTTTCCAAGTTGGACCATACACTAGTGTTTAGACCAAGCGTCAATTTCACAAACAATCCCTATATATTACTGAGTACTGTGTTCAACAGAATCACACATGTGTGTTCAGACCACATCATAAATTTATGTCACGTGTTTCAGTGTATCAACTGGTCCTGGTACCTACCCAACGATATGCAGTTCTACGTGGTTGCCCCCCTTGCTCTCATCCCAATGGCCTTAGGGTAGGTTCAGCCAACAATTTGAACACTTCATCGATATTATACATTGATTTGCTTTCTGACTCATCTAATTATCATAGCTGACTAAAGTGACATTAACACCATTAATGTAAGCTTTAAACACACTTGATTTAACTCGTTCAAACAGTGTCGTAAACATCTATTTAATTGTGAATTCAAATATATAAATATATATGCCCTATAATCTATATATTATTATATATACATAAATATCAATATCAATATATATATATACGATTATATATATATATATATATATATATATATATATATATATATATATATACATATATATATATATATATATATATATACATATATATGTATATATAATATTATTACAAATATAATATATTATATAAGATATATATAAGCTATTATATAATATATATTATGTTTACATGGGGCCGCGTGGTCGGTGGGTAGAGCGGAAGACAGCTAACCTGAAAGTTCTCGAGTTCAGATTCTGAGCACGAGTCGGTAATGCGTCTTTGGAAAGTAAAGGCCGCTGGGCATAGTGCTGACCACACTCTGCATACGCCGGTGTCACAGAAATAAGTAAATTCTACGTGATCTGTTTTTTACCTACACAGACTGGTTATTACCTATACAGACTGTTTAAACTAGCGTCTGTTCATTTTCAGACAACGGGTCATCGGTTTACTGGTGACATTTCTACTCGTGGCATGTCACTTTACCACCAACGCCATCTTACAGAACAAACTTCACACCAGCATCTACAGGTATTTCTACGTCTTTAGTATGCCCGTAACGTCTTGATGTTGCGTTACCTTTAACGTTTAATCAGCTTCATTAAGGCATTTCACTTAAATTAACCTGGAAAGCTGATTTTTTTTATCTGTACGATTCCTTATAGTATTGGCTAGTTAGTTACCCGATTATTATTATTGACATACACCAAAAATGTGTTTTTGTGTGTGTATATTTTGTTTTCAGTGTATCCTTGGGAAATAAGAATAAATCATAACTTATGTTGAAACAAAATTATGCAATTTAATTATTTATGAATTAATGTTATGAAATATGCAGCTTTAGAGAACAACATATTGTTTTTTCTAGATGGCGATATTTCTATTGCCATGTATTACCATCCGATGTATGACTTTTGAAAGGGGTCGTCCATAAATGACGTCACACTCGTAGGGGGGAGAGGGGGGTCGGTAATTTTGTGACGATGTGTGATGAGGAGGAGGGGGGGGGGTTCAGATGGTGCCACGTCACACTTTTGCTTTATAGATAAGAAATGTTAGAAAACGAATTTTAGACCTTATTTAGCGTTTTAGATAACTGTTTTAATAAATTATAATAGGAATTGGTTAAAATACTCTATTTTGACATTTTTCAGACACAATTTTGGAAAAATATCGATGTTTAAAAAAAATTCAACTGCAATTTTGAAGGGGGTTGTAGGCTGAGGTGTGACGTCATTTTGGGGGGGGGTCTGGCTTTTTGTGACAACGTGTGACGGAGGGGAGGGGGGAGGTAAAAGTCGTCCAAAAAAGCGTGACGTCATTTATAGATGACCCCAAAGTAAAAAAAAAATTATTTCCTGTTATTTAATTTGGAACATTTATTTTTATAGGCCTATTTCTTTTCTCGTAAATGTTTTTTTCTTTACATAAGCTATCAGCATTGCATAGTAAAGACTATGTTGTTTACTTTTTAATATTTGAATTACTTTAACATGTTACAACGAAAAAAAATCTTTTTTTATAGTTGCCAAACATTTTAATAAAAATAAATTCGTCCATTCTTTCTTTAAAGCATAAAAAACGTACAATCGTATATTTATTTTTAAACAAGTTAAATTAAAAGACTAATATTATTTTTTTTAAAAAACGTTATTTATTACCCCTTAGTGAATTTACTCACCAATGCCAATAATGCCATCGGTCTTTAAATAAGTTTAAACGTCCTTAAATATCTGTGTCGTAGTATGCCGTCGTTCTGTTTTTTTTTTGTGCAATGTAACTCCAATGTATTTTATCAACCCACCCCCCCCCTACCCCACCCCCTACAACCAGGAACGTCGACAAACTTGTGCCCAACATCTACATTAAACCCTGGACCCGTGTTGGACCCTACGCTATCGGCATCATTCTCGGCTTCATCCTCTTCCAGACTAAGTGCAAGGCTCGTCTTAAAAAGGTACGCCGTTGTTTTGTTTTTTTATATAAATAAGACGGTCAGTGGCGTAGCGAGGTCGGGTGTCACCCGGTGCGGCACTTAATGGTGTCACCCCCCCCCCCCCAGAGGCGTGGCGACCCTTCCCGGGGACAAATTTTTCGATTTGCACCCCCTCAAACTTTCAATTTGCACCCCCTCCCCCTACCTCAAACTTTCGATTTGCACGATTTGCACCCCCCCCTCAGGTTTTTCTCTATATATTTTGCTATTTTTTGCCTTGGTGTCACCCCCCTAAGTGGTGTCACCCGGTGCGGTCTGCACCCCCCCTTCGCTACGCCCCTGAAGACGGTTATGGTGTGTATGTGGGGGGGGGGGGGGGGTTAATGGTGTAGCAGGTGTTGGGACTGAATCAGTTATTCACCAACTGGGTCAATTCGATGCTCTATTAGATAACTCCTTTATTAATTTTAATATTCGACGTGATATCCCCCAACACAATTAATTATCACGTATCAACATTTTATGCGCCAAATGGCCACCTGACTCCGATTTCAGCCTGTTTTCCTTTTTGGAAGTGCTATCTTAACCTTTGTCCTTCCAAGAATAATCTGCAGGGTAGCAGATTTAAAAAAAATAAATATATATTTTAGAGTTTTCTCGCCTAGATGAGTTGCTGTCTCCAGTTAACGAACCTTATCTACCGGGGGTTCGAAACTCGAGAGTTTTGGATTAATAATTATGTGCTCTTCCGCCTGACCACTCTGTCCCTTTCTTTCTTGAGACAATGATACAAAAATATAGCTCTAGTTATTGTACAGATTATTAAACCTTGTAAGGACCTTAACTCTAAACTACATTAATGGGCGGTAACCCTCGGTTCCGAAGTAATATAAACTATTGAGGCCCTCTTCAGAATATCGTTGCCGAGAAAGAAAAAAAACCCTCAAATAATGTACATTATTGTTTATTTTCTTCTACAAATTAAGTTTAAGTATCAGACCTGAATATAAATAAAAATGCGGCCAATTAATTAATATAAAAAACCGGGAGTGAACTTGACTATAAATTCATAATATAACCGCAAGTTTTAAGTTGGCGCATCTATTAGAATCAGAAAAATTATGGAGAGGCGGAAATTTCTTAAAAGTAGTGGCTTAACCAGAGTTTACGAGAAAACATCAGCTCTACGCCCCTCGGCCCACCACGCCGATGGAAAACAAAATCTCTTGAATCATCATTTACTTACACACTTGCATTTTCATTTATTTATTTTTAAATAAAATTGTAATTAGACGTTTTGAATTACAAAGGTTTTTAAGAAACTGGAAATGGGATACCGTTCTCGGTTAACGGATATCGTTCTAAAGCTGCATGAAACCTACGTATGCATGAAGTTTCGTCCATCTAAATGGAACCGTACTTAAGTTGTGTTCACACAAGCGGAGTTTCTGTTGGGCGTCTCTTCGATGCTTTTACCTATAGCCAGTGTCCGCTTCCATTTCCATTCCAGGAAATTTTAAGTGCGCCCCACCCTTATAAATTTCAAGTGCCCCTCCCCCTTATTCCCCCCTCCCCCTTATTCCCCCCTCCCCCCTCTTTCGCCCATAGAAGATTGTCTCAGAGATACACTGTTTATAAGACCATTACACACACAGGCGTAGCGAGGGGGGGGGGGGGGGGGGCGGGGGACATATGTCCCCGGGCGCCGACCTTAGGGGGGGGGGCGCCAAATTGAAAGTTTGAGGGGGGGGGTGCAAACCAAAAGTTCGAGGGTGGGGGGGGGGGTGCAAATCGAAAGTTTATCCCCGGGTCGCTACGCCTCTGATTACACATTTATCGTTTTTTTTCTTCACACATCCCTAGGTTTACGTTTTCCTGGGCTGGCTCATCTCGGCGGCAGGGGCGTTAACTATCGTCTACATCTCCTACGACAACGTGAAGGACTACGGGATAGCGAAAGCCACCTGGAGCTATCTGTCGGCGGACGTCTATGAGACGGTCAAGATACCTGTCTGGTCGCTGTGTGTGGGCTGGGTCATTTTCGCCTGCGCTTCCGGTTACGGGGGTGAGTTGGATTATGCGGAGGGGGAGGGGGATATGTTTGGGGGGGGGGGGGGGGGGGTCGTCCATAAATGACGTCACACTCGTAGAGGGGAGGGTGGGGTCCGTAATTTTGTGACGGTGTGTGATGAGTCGGTGGGGGGGGGGGGAGGGTGGGGGTTCAGATGGTGGGACGTCACACTTTTGCATTATAAATAAACCGGGAGTGATCTCCCCTAAACTTTCTCGAATATTCTTATATAAAATAACAGGGGATGGGAACTCGGGCTATAGACATGATTTTTAATCCATTTTAAATACTTAAAGTTTTAAAAATAGAATAAAATCTCGTAGACAAATTAATTGCACACCAAGTGAACGCCCAATAAAAAAGCGCATAATAGTGCGCAATATTATTAGTACTTTTAAAATTTACATTAGTTTTTTT